AACGTTAGGAAGAATAACCTTCAGAACACAGCCAAAGAGCCCGAAAAACCCCCAACAACCAGAGTAATATTTACCAATCTTGAAGTATGAGTTGTCTTCACAGTGCTAGAGTACAGTGATGCATCTGTTTGGTACCAAACCAGAGTGGCGGGAGCTGGGACAAGCAATGGGCGCTCACTCCGTCGCGTGGATTCGATCTTACGACTGCTTGGTCTTCTGACCCTGCAGCACAGGCTTCTGCGGTTTAGCCCACAGCGCCACCATGTCACCTTATGCCAAATGCATTCTGTTGGGTTGTATGATATTTCTTTATCTTTGAATTAATTTTTTGTCTATGTTACCTCAAACTCTGACAACTAACACAAACTGGCCAGAATCCTTTTGGATGTCTGCAAATGTGGAAGTTGAGCTTACTGGTACTGCCAGTTGGCCATTGTGCTCCTCTGCTTCCTTAATTCAGAGCAGTAGTTGTGCAGCCTGCCCTGCATTTGACAGCAACCAGAAGGGGAATTATCTCTGTGACATGGTTTTTCCTGACAGAACTTTACCCAATGAGTCACTAATCTGAAGAAGTACATCAACCTGTTTTAACTTCTTTTGCATTACAATATTGTTTGAAGGCGTTTACGAACAGTATAATCTATTCAGCTTTTCTGTTTTAGGCTTGTGGTTCATCTAGAACACCCAGCTATGACCGTGTATGTGCGCTGCATGCTAGCTTCCCAATGGTACTTTGTTTCTATTACTAGAGTTCTGGGAGATAAGATTTTAGCCAATATTAAAGATCTGTTGGCAGATTTCTCTATTGGCATATCTACAAAATCAACTGGCAGATGAGGGTTCTGCTGGCAGATTTCTGCTGGTAAAAGGGGATTTTAGCCAGCAAATTAGTCTTGTGCCTAATCATAACTTTCTAGGAACACTGCCACAGAATTGGTTTCTTCCAATTACCAAAGTTCTCAATATGGGAACATTAAGAGAAGACCCCAGAGTAATTCAAGGATCCTTAGAATTCTAAAATATAAGTAGACTATATATAAAGTTGTGCTCTTACTAAGGTTAACAGCTGCTATTGGGGCATTGCTTTTCAGTATCAATTGCAAACAAATTGAAACAGTGGCTGTACACATTACAGCATATAGTGCAATGTGAGTAGGAGAAGACAATCCCTATAGTTAAAGTTCTACTATATATTTACTCGGAAGTGAACCCAGTCTTTCTAAACACTTAAACAGTTCAGTTCTTTTTCTAGGCAATGATGGGGAGATAGTAGCTGGGTTTTTTGGGGGGAGGGGGTTGTTTGTTTGCTGATTAACTATAATTCTTTTTAAAAGCTTCAATCATGATCTATCACTTATCACTAGAAGGGATCATGATATAATTGTACCTTAGCTCAAATAAGTCATTGTAACTCAGTTCTGAGAAAAGAGAAGTCACCACAGAAAATACTAGAACATGGTGGGTTGCTAACAACATGGTTGGACCAGCATTCCTGCCCATCATCTGCCATCTCACGGGGCACTGGGTGAGAGACAGTGCTGCTGCTGCTATCAGCTGCTAGCTTCCCCTGTAGGAGTTTGGCTCCCGATTGCTACTGCCTTGCTGGACTGGGTCTGTGCAACTGGCTGCTCCCCACCCCCTCATCAACACTGGCCACCTGGTTCCAGGGGAGAAGGGACGTTTAAGCAGAGCCTTTTTCAGCAAAAGGGTGGCATTGGTGGGGTGTTGGTTGGTTGAGGGAGAAGGGACCTTTAAGCAGAGCCTTTTTCAGCAAAAGGGCGGCATTGGTGGGGTGTTGGTTGGTTGGTTTGGGGACTCAGAAATAAGGGTGAGGTCCATTCTTCTTGCCTAGAGGGATTCCTTTCTATCTGCCTGTCTCTTGCTGTCTGTCTTGGGTGGGAGGGATGTATCTTTCAAACAAGGAGGCCAATGAGGGGGAGCAGGGAGCTGCCATTGGCATGATGCTGGGTAGAGGGAGATACAGGGAGAGGAGACAAGGGAATCATTGTAGGAGAGGGGGAGGGAAGAGGATCCTAGTCTGCCACCCCACCCCCAAATTGTCTCCCAATTTAGACAGTCTGGATAGCTGTGGAAATAGTCCCACTGGGTAAAAATGCTGCTGCTGAATGCCAGGTCAGTAAAAGGGAAAACATCAGCCACCCAGGGCCTGATGCTGGATGAGCATGCTGACCTGGCCTGTATTACAGAGACCTGGCTGGATGAAGCTGGGGGAGTTAGTCTCTCCCAGCTTTGCCCAGCTGGGTCCTCTGCGAAGCAGCAGGGTAGACCTGGGAGTGGGGGCAGGGAGGTGGAGTTGCCATAGTCTGTCCTGATTCCACCCCCCTCACTAGGTGCCTCGTCCCACAGTTTTCTGGGTTCGAGTGGGCACCTGGGACAGAACAGGGTTTTTGTTGGTGTCCTGCTGCTCAACAGTCTCCCTTCTTGAACTGACTGAGTTGGTATCAGAGGTGATGTTGGAGTCCTCTAGGCTGATAGTCCTGGGGAACGTCAATGTCCATGCTGAGACCAACTTATAAAGAGAGGCTCAGGACTTCATGTCCTCCATGACAACCATGGGTCCATCCCAAGTGGTTTCTAGCCCCACACATATACATTCTGGATCTTGTATTTCATGCTGGACAGGATGATGGTGATCTGGAGCTCTCTGTACTTCTGTTGTCATGGACAGATCACTTACTGGAACTCTTAATCTCTGCAGGGGTGGAGGATCTATTTGGATGGTCCGCCCCAGGAGACTGATGGACCCAAGTGGTTTTCTGATGGCTCTTGGGGAGTTTCCTATTGCCTCAGCAGGCAATCCTGTCAAAGCCCCGGCTGATCTCTGAAATGGGGAAATGGCCAAGGCAGTGGACACAATTGTTCCTAAGTGTCCTCTCTCATGAAGTAGAGCCAGGCAAGCCCCCTGATTCACCAGGGAGCTGGCAGGGATGAAACGAGTGGGACAGAGACTAGAGTGACGATGGCGGAAAACGCACAATGAATCTGACCGGATGCGGGCTAGAGCCCATTTGAAGGCCTGTTCCGTGGCAGTGGCTGCAGCAAGGAAAAGGTTCTGTGCTGCTGCCATTGCATCTGCACAAAGTCATCCAGTGGAGTTGTTTCAAGTGGTCAGGGGCGTAGTACATGCACCACCAAAAGAACAAAATATTGACCGTTGCACAACCTGCTGTGAGGAATTTGCATGACACTTTGCAGATAAAGTTGCTCAGATCTGCTCTAGTTTGGATGCTGTAATTGATACAGACCCAGCGGGATGTAACTTTGGCCCCAGCTTGTCCTGATTTAATGGATACTTTTCAGTTGGTGCAGCCTGATGATGTGGACAAGATTCCTGGAGTGATGAATGCCACCACATGTGTGCTGGACCCTTGCCCTTCCTGGTTCATAAAAGCAGCCAGAGGAAGAATAGCCGACTGGGTACGAGGAGTGGTAAATGCCTCCTTGCAGCAGGGTAGGATCCCTGCTTGCTTAAAGGAGGCAGTAATAAGACCACTATTGAAGAAGCCCGGGGATTCCTGGATGAAGTGGATTATCTAGACCCATTTCAATCTGGTTTCAGGCCTTGCTATGGGACAGAGACAGCTTTGGTCGCCTTGGTGGATGATCTATGTCGGGAACTGGACGGGGGGGGAGTGTGCCCCTGTTGGTTCTGCTGGACTTCTCAGCAGCTTTTGATACCATCAACCATAGTATCCTTCTGGGCCGTCTCTCTGGGATGGGACTCAGAGGCACTGTTCTACAGTGGCTCCAGTCTTTCCTGGAGGGGAGAACTGAGAAGGTGGTGCTGGGTGACTCCTACTTAATGCCCTGGCCATTGGCCTGCCGCATTCCTCAGGGACTCCTGCTTAATGCCCTGGCCATTGGCCTGCCACATTCCTCAGGGTTCTGCTTTGTCACATCTACATGAAACTGCTGGGAAAGGCTGTCCAAAGTTTTGGGGTTGGTGTCACCAGTATGTGGATGACATCCAATTCTATCTCTCCTTTCCATCTAATTCCAGGGAAGCTGTCTTGACTCTCAACCAGTGCTTGACATCTGTAATGGGCTGGATGAGGGCAAACAAAATGAAACTTAATCCAGACAAGACAGACATGCTCCTGGTCTGTTGGAAGGCAGATGAGGGAATAGGTATACTACACTCCCCTTTAAAACTCAGGACCACAGCTTGGGTGCACTCCTGGATTCATCCCTAAGCTTGGATGTCTGGGTCTTGGCGGTGGCCAGGAGTGCATCTGCATAGATGAAGGTGGTGCACCAGGTACGCCCATTCCTTGAGATGTTGGATTTGGCTACAGAGACACATGCCTTAGTTACATCCTGTTTGGAATACTGTAACATGCTCTTTGTGGGCTGCCTTTGAAGACAGTTCAGAAACTTCAGCTGGTGCAAAACTCTGCAGCCAGACTACTGACTGGAGCCAACTATAGGGAACATATAACACACCTGTTACAAGAATTTCACTGGCTATCAGTCTGTTTCCGGGCCCAATTCAAAATGCTGATGATTACCTATAAAACCCTATATAGCTTGGAACAAAGGATGGCAGTTCCAGATGTATGGTGCAATTCCATGCATATTTACTTGGGGGTTAATTCCCATTGAACTTAGTAGGGTTAATTCAGATAAACTACATACTATGGACTCTGTGACTACAGGGTAATAGCCACCTATTTGGACTGTATTAAAAAGGGTATGACACAAATTCATGGAAAATACAGCAGCTGGTAATTACCTCTAATGTGAACCTTTTGCTACCATGGTTAAATTGCATTACTGCAGCCAAGATTCTGCTTATGTCCTGAATTCAATCCCTAACAGGCACAGGTAGCCAGCTTGAGATTGACTCAGCCTTCCATCCTTCTAAGGTAAGAAAATTGAGTTTCCAGCTCACAGGGTGGGTGGGAGGATGTGTAGCCTGCATAGTTAAATTGTAAACAACCCAAAGAGTACTTTAAGCATTATGAGGTAGTACATAAACATCATGTGTATATGTTAATGTGTTTCTGTTTATGTGTTTCTGTACCACTTGTGGGGAAGCTTCCTCTGACTGTTGTGGGGAAAGTGGGAGAGTAGTGCTGCACTCATCTCCTGTGTAAGAACTTCCCCATGGCCCTGGTTTGCCACAGCTGGTAGGGTACACAGGGTTAGAAAAGGCTTTGAACCAGAAAAGGCACAGCTCTTTTTGTCTTCTTGTAATTACATAGTAAATGGATAATGTGTAAACAGCCTAAGAAAGAATTAATTTTCTGTTACTATAAAATGCATATTTGGATTGCTAGATCATTATTTTCATTCGTTTTTTCACTTTACCTTATTCCCCAAGCCTTTAATGACTTGAATTGTCTTCAACCTGAGTCCTCTGAGAAGAGAAGCGTATGTTTTTCTTACCATTGTGGTTACCCCTGCAGAGTCCATAGGGCAAGGAAGGCGATAAGGCAAATAAATAAAATACTAGAACAATGGTGAGGAATAAATAGTAAAGTGGCTGTTTGTCTATCTTTAGAGAAACTCTTGGGAATAGTGCTCGAGGAGAGAGGACAACAACAAAATGGAAGAAGACATGGAAGTTACTAAGACCCAGGTTTTGCAGAAGCTAATGATTTTACCATGACATGCACAGTTCACTACTTAGAACTTGTTTGGTTCATCTTCAAAGGCCAGAATCCAGCATGAAATTTGGCATGCTTGCCCGCTGCCTTTAAATGGGCTCCTATGTCTCTGTTATGGATTACCATCCAAAATGTCTTTCACTTTCACCATAAAATGGAGCAGAGTAAAAGAAAAGAAAATTCAAAGCATCTGGAGTAGAGATAGGCACAAATAAAAAATGGTGATTCGTTTTGATCTGTTATTTGTCAAGGTTAACGGATCAACAAATACGAATATATGAATATTCTTCAATGAAGCGATCTCTTGATTCATCTGCACTTTAAACATGTGTAACACTGGCCCCAAACCACCTAGAGACACACATTTGCAGGGAAACTTCCTTAGACACTTTCCTACAAATCCTGAAAGTTTGGTGAACATTGGATCACAGACCCCTGAGTTATATAGTCACAAAGAGGACTCCCCAGGAAAGCTCACCCCAGGTACTTAGAGATTCCAGAATCACAACAGAGCTTTCAATGTCTTTCCCCAACACACCTGCCAACTTTGGTGAAGATTGGATATCGGATATCCAAGTTATTCATCCACAAATTGGGTCCCTCCAGGAGAGTTTACCACATGGCACAGAAGCCCATTCTGCCTACCGGTTGCCAAACAGCTGATCAGAAGCCGATAGGCAGCCACCCCCACACACAGCCAGCCACTTCAATAGCCTACCTCCACACCCCTTCCTTTCCCTGCCTTAACCCCCACCCCACTCCCACCGACACCCCTTACCTTAATAGCTGCTGCCAGGACTCCATCAGGCCTTCACAGCCACAAGTAAAAAGGGAAACTGGCTGCCCTTTGCAAAGATGGCAGCTGTGACTTCATTTAGAGTAGGGAAACTGCAGCTGCCATCTTTGCAAAGGGCAGCCA